ACACGAAAAGATTCGCGGGTAAAAATCGCAGCGGCATGGCTTTCAAGGTCGACCAGTTTTGTGATCTGGAAGGGCTTCGTATGGGAACTTAAGTAATCCGCTTTCAACTCGTTCATACGCATTCTACTAATTCCATCTTCAATTGCACGAACAACATCTAAATATGTCTTCTTGTGTTTCAGTGCAATAGCTAGTGAAGCATTCATAGACTCGCACCTTTGTGTTGAGCGAATATTGGCAAAGAAATGACCGGTTAGATATGCTTGTGCCCATAAGTGTCGTGTATTTCCCTTCTCAATCACCCATGGATGCTTTTGGACGTTGAATTCTGAAACAATCGAACGCCATTGAATATCAAATTCCTTGGTGTCCACCAGGAAGCCATGCATTTTGAGAATGCTGCTGTAAACTTTGGGTCACCAATGTTAGCTTGTGCATTGCGAGAAAGATGCCAAGAACATAATCTGTGCTTAGCATAAGGGATAACAGATTTGATAGCCCTCTGCATTGCCCTATCCCCATCGGTTACAACAGAAATAGGTGATTTATTCATCATGGCTTCTAAAAAATTCTGTAGCACCCACTCGAAAGATTGAGACGTTTCGTCAGCGATTATGGCAGTGGCAAACACAATTGTGTTATGGTGATGATTGACACCAACAATAGGCATAATTGGTCGACCATACAAATTATCTTTGTACGTTGTGTCGAACGCAATTACATCACCGAAGCATGTGTAATCCGATCTCGATGTAGAATCCGACCAAATAAGATTATACAATGCCCCCGATTCGTCTACCGAGTATGTCATAAAAAACCCGGGATCATCATGTTCTTATAATCAAAGTAGGCAATAAGCGCATTCACATCCCCATCGACGATTTCCTTTGCTTTACCTCTTTGAAGTGCATTGTAGAGGTCTTATGTGTAAATCCAACATTATGATAGCCCCTGCCTGCTGCGTTAAATAGTTCATTACTTGTGACGTGCCAACACCGACCTCTTTCAATGTTGTTGCCTCATCGATATCAGCCTTACTTACAGCTCGATTAGAACGCATAAATGGTGTCATAGCAGATGTGCACAATGCATGATTATGTTTCTGATCAGACTTACTTATAACCCACTGATCGTTTGTATTTGTTGCTGTAACTACGACTCTAGCCTTACATCCTGTTCTTGTGACTGGCGTATGAGCACATTGACGATCAACAGTATTGACTTTTGATACTCGAAACCCTTCTTTGGAACAACAAAATTCTTGTGTCTTCACATTCCCTTCCACGTCAAGCCGTGTTGTTCCCTTACGTGCACTAAACCCATGTTCCCGTGCGAATCCCTTGTAAAAGTGCCAAGCTTGATCACGTGAACAGAAGAGCTGACCAACCAATCTGTCAGATTCATCAACATTATGTACTTCATGGCATTCCTCGGTTGGCTTAACATTGTCTACATCAGTATTATCCATGGCAAAAATTTTGTTGTGCAAGTTCAGTGCTCCAGGAGTTGATGGATATGTAAACGAAGGTTCATTTTGAACATGTTTCTGTAGTTAAAGGGTGGGTACAACATTAAATTCGCAGTACATATTTAGGTATGTACAATAACTACAAGTATATTATCATTTAAATTCGCAGTACACTGTTAAAAAAATTGAAACATAAATTACATAAGTTTTAAAAAAAGTATCGATCCTTTTTATAAAAAGTATGGACACTTTCAATATAATAGGTAAACATATGATGTAATAGGTAGCCCTTATATAATGTAATAGGTAATGGTTATATTGTAAAGTGTCTATCCTTTTTATAAAGTGTCCATACTTTTTTCACTGTGGAAACATTAATTTAAGGTTATCTTTTGAGTGAGTTTTAAGATATTAATTTAGTAATTATAGGCGTCTAATGATTTATTTTTTACGTTACGGTATATATTATTATTAAATTTAAAATTCTAAATAATATTTTATAAAATATAAAAACAATCAAATAATTTTTTGTGCAAATGAAATTATTAAATCAATATTGTAGGTGGAAAACATGAAACACTGTTAAAAAAATTGAAACATAAATTACATAAGTTTTAAAAAAAGTATCGATCCTTTTTATAAAAGTATGGACACTTTCAATATAATAGGTAAACATATGATGTAATAGGTAGCCCTTATATAATGTAATAGGTATCGTTTATATAATGTAATAGGTAATGGTTATATTGTAAAGTGTCTATCCTTTTTATAAAAGTGTCCATACTTTTTTCACTGTGGAAAACATTAATTTAAGGTTATCTTTTGAGTGAGTTTTAAGATATTAATTTAGTAATTATAGGCGTCTAATGACTTATTTTTTACGTTACGGTATATATTATTATTAAATTTAAAATTCTAAATAATATTTTATAAAATATAAAAACAATCAAATAATTTTTTGTGCAAATGAAATTATTAAATCAATATTGTAGGTGGAAAACATGAAACACTGTTAAAAAATTGAAACATAAATTACATAAGTTTTAAAAAAAGTATCGATCCTTTTTATAAAAGTATGGACACTTTCAATATAATAGGTAAACATATGATGTAATAGGTAGCCCTTATATAATGTAATAGGTAATGGTTATATTGTAAAGTGTCTATCCTTTTTATAAAAGTGTCCATACTTTTTTCACTGTGGAAAACATTAATTTAAGGTTATCTTTTGAGTGAGTTTTAAGATATTAATTTAGTAATTATAGGCGTCTAATGATTTATTTACGTTATATATTATTATTAAATTTAAAATTCTAAATAATATTTTATAAAATATAAAAACAATCAAATAATTTTTTGTGCAAATGAAATTATTAAATCAATATTGTAGGTGGAAAACATGAAACACTGTTAAAAAAATTGAAACATAAATTACATAAGTTTTAAAAAAAGTATCGATCCTTTTTATAAAAGTATGGACACTTTCAATATAATAGGTAAACATATGATGTAATAGGTAGCCCTTATATAATGTAATAGGTATCGTTTATATAATGTAATAGGTAATGGTTATATTGTAAAGTGTCTATCCTTTTTATAAAAGTGTCCATACTTTTTTCACTGTGGAAAACATTAATTTAAGGTTATCTTTTGAGTGAGTTTTAAGATATTAATTTAGTAATTATAGGCGTCTAATGATTTATTTTTACGTTACGGTATATATTATTATTAATTTAAAATTCTAAATATATTTTATAAAATATAAAAACAATCAAATAATTTTTTGTGCAAATGAAATTATTAAATCAATATTGTAGGTGGAAAACATGAAACACTGTTAAAAAATTGAAACATAAATTACATAAGTTTTAAAAAAAGTATCGATCCTTTTTATAAAAAGTATGGACACTTTCAATATAATAGGTAAACATATGATGTAATAGGTAGCCCTTATATAATGTAATAGGTAATGGTTATATTGTAAAGTGTCTATCCTTTTTATAAAAGTGTCCATACTTTTTTCACTGTGGAAAACATTAATTTAAGGTTATCTTTTGAGTGAGTTTTAAGATATTAATTTAGTAATTATAGGCGTCTAATGATTTATTTTTTACGTTACGGTATATATTATTATTAAATTTAAAATTCTAAATAATATTTTATAAAATATAAAAACAATCAAATAATTTTTGTGCAAATGAAATTATTAAATCAATATTGTAGGTGGAAAACATGAAACACTGTTAAAAAATTGAAACATAAATTACATAAGTTTTAAAAAAAGTATCGATCCTTTTTATAAAAAGTATGGACACTTTCAATATAATAGGTAAACATATGATGTAATAGGTAGCCCTTATATAATGTAATAGGTATCGTTTATATAATGTAATAGGTATCTATCTCGCATGTGAGTACTTTATTCCAACCATGTGACAAGTGTGACAACTCCATCAACTCACAACTCAGCTTTGAACTCAATCAATATTGTCTTTTAGCTTGATGGTTCATAAAGCATGTTTGAACAGTATGAATCAATTATGCAATTTTCATGTTCAATTTAACACTGCATTTCAAATTCATTTCATATGTAATTGGAGTTTGAATTTAAATTTCAATTTGAGTTTGAATTTATATATTTTCCACTATAAATATTAGCCCAAGCCAATATGCATGTTATCATTGATTATTCCTAATTTCCATTGTTTTTTTTCCAACGTATAAACGCGAGGGAAATCCCGACCATTTTATTTTTGGTCAACTTTAAAGCGTCAGAAACGTTTCGGGCGTATGATCTGGGTGGTATACAAGAAATGTAACAAATAGCAACTAAAATCATAAGTTGAGTACCACCCAAATCATAAGTCTGAAATACTTCCGATGCTCATCAAAATCCAAAGCTCATTTGGTGCCAAGCAAAAGGAAATCAAAATCCAAATCTCATATGATGCCAAGCAATAGGTAGTGGTATATTGTAAAGTGTCTATCCTTTTATAAAAGTGTCCATACTTTTTTCACTGTGGAAAACATTAATTTAAGGTTATCTTTTGAGTGAGTTTTAAGATATTAATTTAGTAATTATAGGCGTCTAATGATTTATTTTTTACGTTACGGTATATTATTATTAAATTAAAAATTCTAAATAATATTTTATAAAATATCAAAACAATCAAATAATTTTTGTGCAAATGAAATTATTAAATCAATATTGTAGGTGGAAAACATGAAACACTGTTAAAGTATCGATCCTTTTTATAAAAAGTATGGACACTTTCAATATAATATAATGTAATAGGTAAATTTGCAATGCTATCGGTATAAATATACTGGTTTACTTATAAAATAGGTAAATATAAGCGCTACCTATTACATTATATAAGCGCTACCTAGTATGTTATTGTACTTTATAATATTTCCGGTTAAATAATATAACATAACCGGTCTAAATTTTAACCGGTCACTTGTTTAACCGGTCACGCCGTATATTAGCCGTTTTTTAGGCGCCGCACCGCAGAACGACCCCCAGTCTCATTTTATCAGAAAGCGAAAACTAAAACCCGCCACCATTTAATTTAAAAGAAAAGGAGGAAATTCAATAATTCTCTAAGAAGATGAGTCTCCACCAAATGGCCGTCTCTCACCCTTTTCTTTTATCTTGTCACTCTGCGTACAATCTAAACCCTCTTTTCTTCTCCAAACGCAGTCGTTTTCGCTTCCCCCTTTCTCACTCTTGTTCCACCTCCATAAACCGTCGGAGCTTTACTGGTAAGTCAATATATCCAAACTAAAGGCTTTCTTTACTTTGTTTTCTCTCTCTCTATTTTTAGCTTATCTGGCGGCTGAGTGGAGGAAAATTAAATTGAATAATATACTTGCTCGAATTATTTCTATTTGCCTTCTTTGAAAAATTCAGCCTGAGAAAATGAACTTAAAAGTCGAGCATTTTCTGTAAAAATCTGATATGAGGAAAAATAGTTATTTTTCTTAATGAAGGAATGCCTTTTTTTTTAACTTTTTAAATGGGTAAAACATGTTCGGCGTCTGCTGCATATTAGTTAATTGTTTACTTCTCAATTAAAGATAACTTAATTATGTGAAGTGATAAAAGTATTAGTATTAATGAAAGAAATTAAGAGAATTCTTTCTAAAATTTTTAGTATTGTCATTTTAGGGGGTGCATTTTTAGTTGGGTATGAGTTTAATTTCCTGTTGCATTTTCAGTTGCTGCATCAGAGAAGGGCATTTCACTTCTCTGGAGCTGGCAAAGTCGTTTGATTTCACTTCCGAGGAGAGGATATACAATTGGTATTTATTTCTTGAATGTGGTAGTTTGCTATTTATTGTCTCTTTTTATTAAAGAGTCCTCTTTCTATTTGAATGCTGAGGTTTTCATGTTGTTTGCTACTCATATTTATACCAAATAAAAAGTTTTTTATTAAGTGAAGTTAAAATGAAAGTGAATGAACGTATAATGTAAGGGAAGAGGCTATTTTAGTTAATTTATCTTTAAGTTACATCTCAATGTTTCCTAGACTTGAGATGAATGTTAAATATGGATATATGCCTGAAACTAACATGCTCAGCTTTTTTCCATGTCCACATATGTGCCAGGTACACATGTTATATTTGTGTGTGTGTGTGAATGTAAAGAGAGAGAGAGAGGAGGGAGGGAGATAGAGAGAATAAATATATTTGTCATGTTTGTGTTTCTTTTTCGTGTCATGTTTGTTTTCTTTTTCTTGTCATGTTTGTATAGTGCTTTAGTTTTTTTATTTCTTTATCCTGTCCAGTATTCCAGGTCTAGATCCATTTCTAGTAGTTTAAAAATAAATTAGTTTTACACACTTTTATAACTTTTTATATGATTAATATTATAACAATCTGATTGTTACTTTGTTAGATTTAATAATATGAATGTACTTATTGTAGAACTAGACTACTAGACTTAGAGTTTTAGATTGACTTGATATTTTTATCATGTCAGTCGAGACTCTGTTTTAAAATGTTGAAAGCTTTTTGTATTGAACAAATAGTTTGATAATTTTGATTTACTCAAAACTCAACGTACATGATAAACATGAACAAATATGAAATATGACTGATGACTCCCAGCTTAAACAAAATATAAATCATATAAAATTATGCAAGTGTTTGAAATCAATTTAGGTTTACACTAGTGTTAGTGGATTCGTTCGCATATATATACATGCATATAATGATCTACATTGAATGAAATATGAAATATAACACTCAACTTAAACAAATATAAATCATATAAAAGTTATGCAAGTGTGTAAAACTAATTTTGTTTTACAGTCATGGAAGTGGTTCCCATCCAATATATACTGTAACACCCCTAACCCGTACCGACCCGGATACGAATCCGAGGTGTCACATTGACTTTTCAAAACTTTGACTCTTATAAAAATCATGGAAAATTTAAACTTTTATTAAAATAAAATTGTTAATTTACACTAGTTGGACCAAAATAATACAAAATCGATCAGAGCATTTGTAATTCATAATTTGTTTACATGCCAAAAACTAGATACAACAAAATACATACTTTGCAAATTACTTTTGATCTTATCTGCTAGTAGGGGTATGCTGTCCTTGCAACTCCTAATTCTGATCTCCTTGTTTCTTGGTACCTACATGTAAACCACTTACACGCTAAGTCACAAACTTAGTGAGGCATAATAGAATATGTATCAATGAATCCATGAAACATGCACTACTATCATTCCATCATGACATTACAGTTTGCATGTAATTATTAAACTTTAACATATATGATCATGCCATGCACAGATGAAATCTGACTTCTTATAAAAGTTTCAATTCAATTTATCTTTAGATGCCCATGTACATTATTGAGAATATGAGGTACTTGAATACACTGAGGTTGTGCTCAAATGCTGTCACCACAACTCGAATAAATTCCCACTATGGGCACTTAAAATTTGTTCCGAATGACCACTTTGTCACGAAGGACCACTATGTCCCGAATGACCACTTATAACCCTCGACTCTTGCATGCCAATTATACCTACAACTCTCATATCATATAACATGGGCTTAATATGAATACCTGTTACATTTTCAAATCACTTCTCATATAACAAGTCATATGTACATATATGATCATTTATCTTTTCATACATAACTTGGAATTATTCTCTTATAGTTGCATTCATCACATATATATCATATAAAAGCATGTATGAATTATGCACATACTCATTATAATCATAACGTATGCATGTACATGAATATGAAATCATGAACTCAACTATAGGAAATAGACTTATCACAAGTCTTATTTCCATAAAACAATATCGATACTAACTATGATATGCACTCACCTTAGCCTTACTTGATTCGAGTCAATTCTAGAACTTTATCTCTCTCTCCTGACCGTTTTAATTCTTCGATTGTTTCGGAACTTGCTTGAGCTCAATATCTACACGAATATAATCTAATGAATATCAGAATTTGAAATAGTCGAAAAGGATTCATACTAATTTAAACTAACCAAAATACTAATATCAACTTCCCAACTTAAGTAGTACCGGTACTACAAGCATAGTACCGATACTTCTATTATAGGGTACCGATACTCTCCCAAGGTATCGATACCGAAATTAGATTCGATGTTTTTCAGTATCGATACCCTTAACCTGGTATCAATACTACTATACTATGGTACCGATACCTTCACATGGGTATCGATACCTCATGAATGCCTTTAACAAATTCAGACTTAAATCCATTTGTACTCATCTAACACATCTTTACCTTCAAATTCTATCCTCTATATAGTAATTAAGAATTATACCAAATTTCTAACATGTTTTAATTCCAATTCTAACACTTCATAGTTTTTAATTATGTTGATGACAAGTCAATTCCAATCTCAAACTTTCTTTACTAACCTTCTTCTATGATTTCACTTATTCCCCTCTTTTCTTTAATCCTTCCTAACTCACTCATCTTTTGATATGAAGATAACTTAAGCTTTCCGTAAGCTTAAGTATCACCTAAGGATCATAGACCCAACTTAAATTCAATAAATAATCAGCTAACAAGAAAACTCACCTTTCCAATGGCTTTCACGTATGGAGGATGAAGAAGAAGAGAACTCTGGAGACTCACTTTGCCTCCCTTCACTTCCACGTGGGTTTAAATATAACGACTACTATCTTAATTATTTTTTCCCCAAATGACCAATTTGCCCTTCCATTCATTATTCTTTTTAATTCAATCCTACACAACATTTCCCATATAAGTCCCTGAACTTTTCAAATTATCTACTTTAGTCACCAAATTCTAAAGTTTTATAATTTAATCACTAATCCGGTATTGAGGATGTTACATATACATCATACTTTCTTACTTTAGTTGTTAACTCCATAATAATAAGGAACACCCTTATTTGCTTGCTTGATCTTTTTTCTATCGATATAGGTAGCATAACGTTGGATCACGTTAAAATTTGAGATTAAATACTTATTAAAAAAAGAATGACTTCTCTCTCCAATAGAAGTCGAAGAGTTGATTCACTCCCCACTAGAGTAACCAGGTCAGTGTTCATTGACAATCTCAATAGAAGAATCACTAGGGGTACGTTAAGGGAACTATGTGATTATCATGGGAAGGTTATTAGTGTTTTCATTCCTCGGGTAAACAATAGAGCTAGGTATAGGGATTCAACCTTCGCTTTGTTCACTTTGCAAGTCAGGGAGAGCAGTTGAATGCGGCCAGTAAGTTGAATAACATAGTTATAGATGGTAGGAAGGTCTCGGTAGGAATAGCTAAGTACCCGAAGGTGATAAACCTCCGTTATCCGGGAGGAGTAAATGGTGTTCAAATGGAAAACAGAGTTAAGAGTCCTCACGGAAAAACAATAGAGAAGGAGGCTCTCTTCGAAAAGTTTAATGATGGTAGATCCTACAGGGAGGCACTTGTTAATGACAAAAACCCTTCAGTGGGAGTTGAGAAGATGGTTTCGAAGAATGAACCAAAACACCTGGTGAACTTTTTCATTCCAGAGGAGGAAAGGGAGTGGATAAAACGTTCATTGACGGGTATAGTTAAAGAAGGGTTTGATTTTGAGTTTGTGCAGAGAGCTCTCTATAACGATGGGATTGATGTTGTTGTGAGGAGACAGGGCTTCGATAGGAACGCGTGCATCCTTAACTTCAATTCAAAAGAAGAGATGGAAGAAACTTGGCTTAATAAGAAAGTAGAACTGTATATTGGTTTGATTGGATTGAGAAGTTGATCATGGAGGATGGCATACCCATGGCGTTTTGTTCGGTTCATCTTTATGGAATCCCTCTCATTTGCTGGAACAATTCTTTCTTCACAAGCATTCATAACGATACATCGTCAAAAGTTGATCTCTCGGTGGCTAAACTATTACTGAGGGTTGCAAGTCCGTATGATGTGCCTAACATTATTACACTCTTTGCAAATAAAAGATCGTTCCTGGTTAGGGTTAAAGCTGGGTATATCAAGTCAGGATCTGAAGTAAGTGGTAGCCTGAATGATGCAAGCTCCTCAGAGAATATTTGGGGAGACAGTTCATCGGGGAGTGGGAAAAAAGATGATTGGAGTTTGGAAGGAAATCTGGAAGGGCAACCGTCCCTGGAGGATGTTCATACTAAGGTGAACACGTGGCTCGAGAGAGGCATGTCAGGTGATGTTGATGATCTAAATCCAGTTGTAAATTAGCAAAGGGGTGCTGATACTTCGGGCATTAATGATGTTGCAGACTCGTGAAGGATTTCAGGGGAGGCGTTTAATGCAGCAGACAAAATAAACGTTAGGGTTAATTTCGCAAGAGATGGTTTAAATGCTAATGAGAAAGGGATTCTCAAAGTTTAAAGGATGCCACTCAGAAAAACAGATTACATCCACCCATAATCATATTGGGCCGGTAACAGGTAGTAACCAGTCAGTTGGACCAAGGGCCTTTGTGCCTTCTTGTACAAAATTAAACAGTGGAAAAATTCAAGCCAGGGGAAACAACGGTAATAACAGAAAAATCAAAGTTCCCCTAGACAATCTTGGGCCAGTGTTAACTCGATTTAAAAGTGTTAGTCATTCCGTTAAAAATAAAACCTCTCTTCATCGTATAGGCAGTGTATCTTCAGAGATGAGTATCAATTTTTATGATAAAGTGTATAGAAGGGTTCAGAGAAGGATGGTTCGTGATTCGTTGGAGATAGATAGTGGTTTAGCTAGTTCGTCTCCTACCTTCATAAATGCAAGAGAGGAAGCTGTGCAACTAGAGAGATTAG